CCCCCCCCCCCCCCCCCCAAACAGCTGTATAAATAGGAAAGCAAAGCAGAGACTGAGCAGAACTTTTGCAGCAGCCTGTGAGGTGAGAACTATGGCATCAAATGCAATGGTTCAAAAATTGTGTTAAAATATTGCTGAACACCCAAGCTGTTAGATGTGTCTTATTACAATGTACAGTTTAATACTAAAATACTCAGCTGCATTAAAAAATCACTGGTATTGAGAAAGATGAGTTCTTTGCACATGTATTTTCCAGCAATAGATTCTTAAGCTGACATTTTAGAAAAGTTATCTGTACTAATTAAAAAACAAAACCAAAACCAACAAAAACCAAAACTAAATAAACCCCCAAAATGCCTCAAAACGAATACTAATTGAGTTGATGTACACGAATTCTATAAAGCTTTCTGGATTTAACCCTAAAGTAATCTTGGATTAAAATGTTAATGAATTTATGTTCCTTAATGTGAAATACATAATGCAAATACTCTTTTACCACCTAATTTTGCAAAAATTGGCTAAGTGGTTAAGCTTGAACATACATGGTAAAAAACACAGTGGTATTATTCACGAGTGGAATTATATGTATGCTTGTGTGTTTGTAAGAAAAACATTCTGTTGATCAAGTGTTTCAGTTTGTCTTGGGCATTTTGTACAGGTTAGTGGATGCCTTTGAAGGAATGACAGTTAAGGGGGGAACTACCCTACCAAAACCTACAATATTCAGTCTTTCATTTATGGAATTTAATGTATAGTTACAGCTGTACCCATTCCAGCAGTTCTTGTACAAAACCTTAATCTTATGTAAATGGATAATATTTGTGGAATTAGAATTCTTTTATTTCGTTATGTGACCCTGTTAGCATCCGATTGCAAATTTAAACTACTATGGGACTTCTAATATATGTTGCATTCGCTCCTGATCCTCAGGCAGCTGCAGAAACTGCATATGACATGGTTTCACCAGGGCCTACTTTTATTGAAGCAAAAAAAATCAAACGATTCCCTCGCCATCGTTTAGCTCATCAGCCAGTAGACCTACGGGAAGGTGTAGCCAAAGCATACAGTGTTGTAAAAGAGGTGAGTGCAAAAGTTATTGTCCGTAACCAAACTTAAGAATTATTTCCTAAGACAGCAAGTAAAATACCAGATGTTAGTTTAAGCTGACCAAATGAAGAAGGGTATTTAAGTATTGAACAAGACTGTCTTCAGTAATCTTAAACCAACTGCAACTTTGCATGGAAAAATCACAGCAGCAGAAATAAAACTAGGATGTTATGCAGATAATTGTGAATAGGATTTCAGTGTTCTACAGTTTACGGTTATTCTGAAACATGTGAACCTGACTTCCTGCCCTGTGTCACCCATCCTTTGCTTCCCACCCTTCACCCTCCCGTTACTGTTAATTCTGAGATTGTTAGAGTTTAAGCATAATACTGGATTTAAAACAAGTGAAACTCTTTACCATGACAATGTATTAAAAATTAGAATGCTGACCTGTTTTTATTGTACTTTTTGTATTGTACTTCCAGTTAGTTGCATCTGATACTATGTCTATGAAGTTAGGTCTCAGCTGGTGAGTTTTCAGTGAACTCTATAATTTTTTAACAGCGCACAGTACCCCACAGCTTCTTCCCTTATGCACAAGAAGTGCTACGAGAAGTTACATGAAATATTTTCATATGTAAGTTCATAGTAGTGTTATTTTAAGGCTTGTTAGAAGAACTAAATCGTATTTGTATCAGTATAGTTGTGCTACAGTGATAATACAAATCACAAAGCCGATAAACACTGAGCAGTTTGCGTTTCCCTTAAAATTAGGAGAGGTTGCTTTTTCTTTTTCAGCGTAACTAATTTCTGTTAATTTCTTGAAGGGGATTACGGACACAGCACAAACCATCTATGAGACTGCTGCTCGTGAGCATGAAAACAGAGGAGTAACTGGAGCAGTAGGAGGAGTCCTCCGCCAAATTCCACCAACTGTGGTGAAACCTTTCATTGTTGCAACAGAGGCAACCTCAAATGTTCTAGGTGGAATGAGAAACCAGATCAGGCCAGATGTGCGTCAAGAAGAGTCTCAGAAGTGGCGCCTTGGGGAAGATTAAGATTATAAATCTGGCTCAGCAGGCAGGTAGCAAGGCTGGAAATGCAGAAGATTGCCCCTTGGCAGCTTTAGATGTCATGCTCATCTCAGGAACAAATGAGGTTTTCAGCTACTATTAGCAAAACATCCAACCAAAAATATTTATGAAGTGAAAAGCAAATTGGTACTTGCTTATACTATGTGTTACCAATAATTTGGTAGATAGTGCCAAACATAGCAAAGCATGCGCTGCCAACTCAGAGACATGCTTGCTCTATTCTGTTTACCATATTTTTCCTTGGTAGATTTAACATCTGAAGCAGTAGCCTGTATGGTGAAACTAAGTATACTTTAAAGATATTTGCTGAGCATAGTCAAAGAACTGTCTTCAATAAAGGGCTCTGCAGATGCTCTTCACTGACTAAAGGACAAAAGCTTTCATTTTGGATATGAGACATGAAGGCTATGTAATATGGAAGCAGATAAGATAATATCGTTTAGTGGTCATAAGCATCGCTTTCAGCGTGGCACTTACAGCAAGGGCAAGCTTGATAAACCATTCAGAATTTAGATTCAGTGTTGATACACGTATTAACAGGATTTGTTCCTAAATATTAAATACCTACTTTTGTGGGTCTTTGAAGAACCTGAATGTTGCAGAAATGTTCTGTTGTGTTGCACTTTAAAGGATATTGCCTGTATATTGTGCTTTTTTTATAGTGTGAATAAAATGTAATGTGCATTATCCTTTATGTGGTTTAGAAGCTTACACAAATTATTGAAAAGAGCATCATTTGATGATGATCCTACAGAAAAGTGTCTTAAATTTGTTTGAACTACTCATTATATGTAAAAACACTTTTGACTTCTGTTACACTAATTACAATGCTAAAAATAACTGTTCTTCAGGAAAACAGCAGTTAATTGTTGTGGCCAACAGCTCTTTGTAAGAATGAGAACTCGAAAGTAAAAACAAATTATGTCGTAATTTCATAGTTAAAATTCTGTACAGACACTATTTTAATAATCTGCTTTTATTTAAAGTTCATATTGTTGCAAAGTTGCTGCTCTCAGAAGATATTTTTAATTCAAATTGTGCGTTGTCAGTTATTTGACAATGAGTATTTGGGGTCATTTAATTTGAACTGGGGAAACTGGGATTTAAAAAAAATAACAAAACTTCAAAAATCAAAGTTGGTACTGACATTATTTACAGTTTACATGACCAGGGTCTCCACAGAGCTTTATTAAGCAACTGGCACTGAGCCACTTCTGGGCAGTTAAAAGGCTCAGCACTAGCTGTGCAGGAATAAAACTTTTTTCCTTGTATTGGCAAAACCTGGAGGATAAAAAGTAAAGACTGTTCTGAATAGAAAAATACTCATTTTGAATTTCAGCAACTTAATGCTTTGGATGACTAGCCAGAATGTAAGTTTGTCATAGTCTTGTGATTGTTGTAAGTGGAAATCTTGCAAATATGCTATGTGGAAAATCTCCACTGAAAGAGGGGCATCAGATACTTTTGATCAGGCTTCAGTTTCTAAGGGTGATGAGGAAGTAGTTTCCATCTCTTTTATTTAATACCTGCCACTTGCAAAAACTTTGATGATGGGCCTTACAGGACAAATAGAAGCGTATGAAGAAAAATAGTTACTGCTTGTTCATCCTGATACTATACTAGCTATTCCTGAACACCAGAGAACCTGGATGGAGGGTAAATTATTTGAAAATCTCCCCTCTGCTGGGAAGACTTCTGCAGCCTGCTTTATTTTTTCTTCATAAAACTCCAGTTACAAACAAATTCTTGCATTGGGTGACAGCTGATACTACAAAGTTTTTTTTTTTCATTTGCTGGAATCATTGAAGTTGTGGTACACTTTGGAGACTTGGTTATTTCAGTTAAATGACATGCTGTAAGCAGAAGGAGATGCTGTTGAGAGGACAAACACCTGCAGATTTAATGACATGAAATATTTTCTAATGTAAAAATCCTTGCTGCAGTTCATACTTCTGTCCAGTAATGAGAGAGCTCTGCTTTAGTGAGAGCTCAAAGCTTGAGCATTTTGCACAGGAATGAGTTCCATGTTTGCAATTTGGCACCTCCTGAGTCCCTTCTCAAGAAGTAGCGATGAGTCAGTACAAGTAAGTAGCAATGCATCATTTTCATTTGCAATTACCATACTGTATAATTTCGGCTGGTCCAGTTCATCCAGTTAATTGGAGTATACTGTAATAGTACAAACCTACATATTCTTCTTTTTTGACATTGCTGAAAAGGAGCAATGGCATTTCAGTGTTCATTTTATTTTCAGTTCTGTCATGACCTGATTGTAGTGCAATGCAGTTAGAATATATTTTTATATGAGGGCATGCTGTCAAGGTAAAACATTTTTATAGAGCGTCTCATTGTCAGCAGTGCAGATTGTACAGACTTATTAAACTTTGCTTTTCATTGTTTAAACCCTTGCATGTACTGCTTGCACTTTATTGAGCCTTTTCAGTGAAACTGATTTTAATTTTTTCCAACATTTCATTTTTAAAAGTAGTTTCTTAATTTTTGGATGTATATTCTGCATTGTTTTTCATTTGCAGTATGAACAAGAAACTCACTAAACTAGTCGTTACATTAGGACCCTATCTTCAAAATATGTCTGTTGTGGAGCAGCTTGTCTTTTAATTCAAAAAGTATGTACTGTGTATGAGAAGGGATTCATCAAATGCTCTGCTCAATACTGTAAGAGTTTTCAAGCACTTAAAACCACACAAAATGAGATTTGACTCTGGACATATTTCCTGCAAGGAAGAATATAGGAATCCATATAGCCTAAGGATACATTACTGTATTCTCTGCTAGCACGAGATCTGCAAAAATACTGTTGAACTTGAATTTTCTGCTGAAATCAGTTGCTATAGATACTAGCATTTGTAGTGGGTGTAAACTGGCATGGTCCATGTTTAATGTTCAAATTCTCTAATGTTCAAGTGACGAATGCTACTGCTGCTGCTACTATTACTTAGTCTGATACTGTCCTGATAGACAGAACTGTCATCCTGGGTTTTCTTAAGCGTCTTGGCACTTCAGATAATACATTGATGAGTGCCTGGGAAGTAGCTGGAAAAAAAGAGGCAGCCATCTTTAAAAAAAAAAAACCAAACCAAACAAAAAACAGCCAACAAAATTCTTGCTTAGTAAGAATCTTAGCAGTGCCTGAGAGCAACAAATCATCACATCCATGCAAAGGTAGCTTCTATTTGCTTTCCAGTATCTGTTGACAGTTCCTAAATACCACAGCTTTTTAGCAGCGCAGCGTACCCTGTGCGTACTTGCCTGGTGATAAGCATTAGGTCAGTCACCAGTGAGTTCGTATGTGCTTAAGGGATGTGTCTGGTTTTATTTTCTCGTTAAGTGGTTGATTGTGAATATCCATTGCTTGCTTTCATTTACAGTTGCTTAACTGAGTTGCCAAGAAAGGTATCTTAACCAAAAAGCTGTTAAATGGTTATGAACAAGACACTCATGCTGAACGTGATCCATATACCTGCAAATGTGATAACTGATTTTACTTTAAATATTAAAATGTATGCAAAATCCAATAATTTGTTTAGAATAGTTATATACTTCTAAATCTTTCCAATATCCTAAATCTCAGCAATATAAGCATTGTCAGAAAAGGTGTAGGTATTTATGTCAGTTTGGATCCATAGTGTGCATAGTTCTCTCAGCCGCCAGGCCTCATGATTTAAGCTTCTGACAACTGTTTTAAGTTGCTCTACATGCTGAATCTTGTTTACACTTAAAAAATCAAATTCTACAAATTAAGTACATAAATACAAATCATGAATTTGTACTGGATTTCTTAATAGTAAGGTAGCTGAGACAGAAAAACAGCAATTTGTGCATATGCTTGTGTATATTTTTTACATTTTTGCATTTATGGTAGTTTTGTGGTATTGTTTGTATATAGTTTGCTAGTGTAAAGAATATAATCTCATGAAATAGAAACCACTGTTGAAGGGAATTGACTATTTCCACTTGAGTTATTTTGCTTAAAGTTCTTGTCCCCTCAGTATGTCTTTGAGAATTATTTTTGGCCATAATTTATGTGGCACCAAAAGTGTATATTTTAGCTTATTAAAACGCTGAAAGGCCTGAGTGCGAATAGGTTGTCATGATAAATATGTTTAATGGAAAAAACCACAAATTTGTAACAATACATAAATAAATATCTTAATTTGTTCCTTGAGTTGATTTTCTCTACCTATGAATATAACAAATATAGAAGAGTCTCCCAAAATAACAGTTAACTATTAAAGCTTTTTACCTACGTGGCTCTACAGCTGTACCTCAAAAATTTAAAAAAGTTTTATACTGGGGGGAAAAAAAAAGAAAGCTTTAAAATTATACAGAGGTCAAAAGCTAGGAAATAAATTAACCTGGCTGATACAACTTGTAACTGACCTCTGCTGTGCATCAACAAAGTGCTCTTTAACTGTATGACCATATACTGTGCCTCCCATAGGCCTGTTACCACACTTAGTCACTGAGTATGTATTTCTGACCTCCACATTCAGTGGAGCTTTTAAAGCTTTATAAGCTTCCAAACCCTGTGAAGAATGCAAAATAATTATTTCTTTTCAGGATGCTTGTATGATGCCCACCTCACAGGCATTTAGTTGCAAGCATCTGAAAAGAGATCTTGGAAGGCTGAGTACTGGCTAATACTGAATACTGGTGGCAGTGCCAGATCCCTGAATAATGAGACACACATGAGAGTTGTAATTTTCTACTGTGTTTTGTAATGTTCTTACAGCTTAGGGGAAAAAAAAGTTGCTGTATAATGTGTGGATAACTGTTCTGTCAAACAGTAACCCTTCATTTAAGCAGGAAGCTGACGCCCGCCTTGTGCAGCTCTTCCTCCTCTTTTTTTTTAAGCAAGACCTCATGTGGATTAACTTCCAATTTCAGGATTTTTATTTAAAAGCTCTTAGGTTTCTTTTCTTTATTTAAGGAAGTTCTGTATAAGCAGAATGAGAGAGAGAGTGAAATGGTGGTGGGTTTTTTTCTTTGCAAGCAAGGTGGACAAGTTTCTAAGCAGCTTTTCTAAACACTGCTCATAAAAGTGATCAAGGATGCTGTCCACAAATGTGGACTACAGAGAATAAATAGGGAACAGCTTGGAATTAGTCATTGGTCATCCCAGGAAAGTAGGAAAAAATAGAAGGATTTATTTCACTTGCTCCCAATGCTCTCTTTCGTAGTTCAAAAAGTGATAAAGTTCTGAACTCCCCTGATTTGCAGTCTGTGCTTCCCTGGATTTTTGAAAGTCATCTGTCACTTGTAAGAAAACAATTATATAAAAACTACTAGTAAGTGTTTGTGGTTCTCTGAATCTAGATCTGCTGTAATTCAAGCTTGTATCCACATGGCCAGAATAGGAGGCTTCATTTTGCTCAGATGAGCCCCAGGAGGATGATGCAGAATGGCACAAGCTGGAATCGCAACCCGAGGAAAGTGTCAAGGAAGTTCTATTTCTCTTCGCCATACTGAGGTGTACCCAGGATACTCCTGATGTCTCCAGGTTAGTCCCAAGAGCAGAAGACACTAAGGCTCCACAGCCTGTGACACTCCAGCTGAGAATTTATGGAAAGCCACCAGTATGACATATCAACCTGGAGCAACGTTAGCTGGTGTCCTTGACCTCCATTCCTAACTGAGGATGACCAAGGCTCAAGTGTTCTTTTTTC